TCCCTCCCCTCACTTCCTAGCTGCCTCCTCACACAGATCTGCCTGAAGGGGAAACTTCATATCTTCAAGTACTTATCAACAGAGGCAGGGCAGCGAGGGGCTGCCCTGGGGGACCTGGCTCCTTCCCGTCCCCCGAGTTTCAGTCCCTGGTAAGTCTCAGAGGGAAGGAAGAAAGCCCTTAACTTAGAGAGACTTTATATTCTTTCTGGCCCAGAGGATCCCCTGGATCCTGGTGGGAGGCTCTGGAGGGCTGCTGCTAGCATGAGTCTGATCAATGTTCTTGGCTGGCCCTAGCCCGGCTGAGGATCTCTTTCCTGGACGTCGATATGATGGCGGGCTGGACTCAGGCTTCCATAGCGTGGACAGTGGCAGCAAAAGGTGGTCTGGAAATGAGGTAAGAGCTGGCCTCCTTTCCATGAGTGATTGGTGGTATCAGCCCTGGGAGAGGACCTCTGTTCTGGGGACCCCTGCCTGGTACCACTGAATCTCAGAGTGATGGGTGGTGGCTGAAGCTCTTTCCTCTCCCCACTGTCCCTGTAAGGGCTGGCTTAGCAACAGACCCTAATCTCAGTCCTTCTCAAGCCCCTGCACGCCTGCGGCCCCTTGAGCCCCCAGCACTTCAGAAAGCCCTCTTCTACCTTCCCACTTTGTCTTTACAGTCAACAGATGAATTTTCAGAGCTGTCATTTCGGATCTCAGAGCTGGCCCGGGAACCTCGGGGGCCCAGAGAACGGAGGGAGGATGGCTCTGGTGAGTGGGAGTGAGGCCAGGGAGGCCAGAGTGGGCAAGGGCTGTGGGTTCCCACCTACGTGCTGACTGCCGTGCCTTGGCCCCTGTAGGGGATGGAGACCCTGAACAGATTGACTTCATTGACAGCCATGTCCCTGGGGAGGACGAGGAGCGAGGTGCAGCTGAGGTGAGGGTTCAGCGATGACCCTCCTCCAAGGAAAAGGGAGCTGGGGGGTCATGTGGAGACCAGGCCTCCTGTCACCCTCTGCTGTCCCTCCTCAGGAGCAGCAGCCTCCTGAATCAAGCCCTGCAGCAGGGGACAGGGAGCGGGGACTCAGCAGCAGGTACTCCAGCCTTAGAGCCCACACCCTGCCTTGCATTGGAAGCCCCTGGCCCCTCTTCTGGCCCTGACCAAGGTGTCCTCCTGTGCATCCTCAGGCGTGAGGAGCCTGCAGGGGAGGAGCGTCGTCGTCCTGATAGCTTGCAGCTGTGGCAGGAGCGGGAGCGGCGGCAACAGCAACAACAACACCAGAGTGGGGCTTTAGGGGCTCCCCGGAAAGACAGGTGCTGGGCCAGGGCTGGCTGAGGCTGCTGCTGGCCAGTGTAGGTGATGCTGCTGGGCTCTTGGGTGGCACCTGCTCATTGGCTGACTGCAGCTGTCCTGTTTGCAGTTTCCTGAAGTTGGGCATCAGGGCCTCCGGGGGCGGAGCCAGCCTATCTACTCAAACGGCCTACAAGTAGGTTCCCTCCTGGCTGCCTGTCCCCAGGGTCTCACCAGCCTTCTAATTCCCCTGTCTCTCCTCAGTGGGGCTCCCAAGCCCAGTACTGCCCTGTTGGGAGCTTCAGGGACGCAGGCAGTCCCCATGCCTGCTGCTTCCTCCCAGGAGTCCCTTCCTGTAGTTGGACCAGGTGAGCAGGGACTTTACGAGGAGGACAGGGGTGTCTGGGACCTGGTGGCCTGAGGAAAGAATGGAACACTGGAGTCTCTCTCACCTGTCTCTACTCTTGGACCCCAGCAATGGCACCTGCTCCCCGACCACATGGCTCCATTCAGAGACCGAACAGCTTCCTCTTCCGCTCCTCCTCTCAGAGTGGCTCAGGTGAGTCTCCTCCCTCCCCACATGACATTTGCTTTGGCCAGCACTGAGGGTTGATGTCACCTCTGGCTTATGGACTGTCTGGGTCTGTGGTCCCTTTGTGTCAAGAACTGCACAAGCAGAGGGGCTGGAGGGTCATGCACTGGCCCCTGGGAGCTGGTGATGAGGTGAACGTATATGGAAATGACCCTGTGCTTTTTTTCCTTGTAGGCCCTTCCTCACCAGACTCTGTCTTGAGACCTCGGCCTGCCACCCAGACTCCAGATGAAAAGGAATTAATGTCTCAACTGCGCCAGGTACGCAGGAGCAGCATTGTGTGGTTGGGCTGGAGTGGGGCGCAGTGTCTCATCACCCACTTTCTACCTTCACCTCCCTGCTGACACCTCTCCCCCAGGTCCTTGAGTCCAGGCTGCAGCGGCCTCTGCCTGAGGACCTGGGTGAGGCTCTGGCCAATGGCGTCATCCTCTGTCAGCTGGCCAACCAGCTCCGGCCCCGCTGCGTGCCCTTCATCCATGTGCCCTCACCTGCTGTGGTCAGTGGGGTGCCGCGGAGGTGGGGAGTGGGGACACTAAGGGCCTTTCCTTTCCCCTCTGTTCATTTCATGTTGTTTTTAACTTTTTACTGGGGATTGAACTCAGGCCCTTGTGCTTGCCAGGAAAGCGCTTATTCTACTGAGCCATTTCCCCAGCCCGTTTTTAACTTTTATTAGTACGATTGCTCTACATAATGGTTGTTCGTCATGGGAAGTTGGGACACATGCATAGCATCTTATTTCTTTACACATCCCCTTCCCCTCCTCTCTTCATTTCTTACACTTAGCCAAAGCTCAGTGCCCTGAAGTCTCGGAAGAATGTGGAGAGTTTCTTAGAAGCCTGTCGAAAAATGGGGGTGCCTGAGGTATGAGGGTTGTTCTGTGCTCTAAAGGGTGGTGATGGCCCGGGACTCCCTGAGCACTTTGCATGGGTGGCAGGGCTCTATTCTACAGGGTGTCTGCTACCAGAAGAGGTGGATCTGCACACCCCGCCCGCACGTCTCCTGCCCCGCATGTCTCCTTGCCCCGCACGTCTCCTGCCCCGCACGTCTCCTGCCCCGCACGTCTCCT